GTTTTAACATATTCTTGGATTCCAAACTGACGGCCATTTCCAAACCAAGATGCTCCGAGTTCAGCCTCAATCCCAGCTCCAAGTAATTATAGTTTCTCGTGTGTATTTGAAGAGTATAAAATTAGAAAATATTCACCTTTCTTCATGTCTGGAACTGCAGAAGGCTCGATCCCTCTGACGAATGCCCAGGCATCTCGCTCTGAGGCAAACTTCTTAAAGGAGGCAGAAGGAAATTTGTCCACTTGGCTCTTACACTCGTCCCTAAATGACAAAAAAATAAAAAGTAAAAAATCAGCAGAATAAAAACCTTGAGATGTCTTCATTCTCCTCTCCGGACACTTTAATGATACACCTTTTCAACTGCAACTCAATCCATTCAGGCACAGACATGGTCAAGATGACCCACTGACGTTCAAACAGCCACTGGAGTGAGGAAGAAAGAGAATTTAAGTGGCACTGAACATGGCAGTGATTGTTGGTGGCAGACACACTGGCCTGAATATTTCAGAAACTAGTGATTTCTGAATTTCCAGCATTCAAAAAGGTCTGAAATGAGAGAAAATATCTAGGACAGACTCCAATCCGGCCCAGTGGGCAGCTGTGGAGGATGACTTTAACTGTGTTTTAACTTTTGACTGTTTCCTATCATTTACGGTACATTAAACTAATTAAGTAACAGAAAAACAATAACAAAAATGTTCCCTTCTTGTAACAATAGGTCCAAAGTTTATTTTCTCAAAGATTAAACGTGTAGTTAAACTTCTGTGCACTAACAGAAGGTGGAGTTTCACTGGTCTGGTCCTGGCGTGTTGTTTATTTTATTTGTATTTATTTGTAATATAAACAAACCAAAGACATACTACATTATGTAAGAATAAATCAATTTTAGGCCCTCCTACTCACAAATGAGCCACATTAATGGCGGAAATACATTTAACAGTTTGAAGGCTAACCACCTGAAAAACGGAGAAAACGAAGCCGTGTATGTTATGCTTCCATGCCGAATTAAAGTGTGGGATGTACTGACAGGGAAACATTGATATGATCTTAAACCCGCTGGGTTGTTTTACTGTAGCTCAAGGAGAAAAAGAAATCTTCGTGCATCTGAACGGAAGCTGGCATCCACTCACTCTCACTGAAAGAACATGCACTTTGAATAGCCAATAACATTGATTTTCTTAAAAACAAATGTGCAGGCATTGAGTTGTGTCCGGCCTCACCATGAAGTGTAGACTCCCGTTTTGTGTCCTTTCCTAACTGCGTAGAAAAACTTCCCTTTCGCCATGTCGTCAGCAGCGCTACAAAAGGTCCTGCATGCAACTCTGAAAAGACCAGTCAGCCTAAACATCACTGTCTGCCAACACACTGCACGGGGACAAAGGTGGCTAGCATCGTGATATTAACTCGGATACATTCAAATATCAATAGATTTGAGTAGGGAAGGCGTGGTTTGACATAAAATCTTGAAATATGGGACCAAATTAGCAGCCAGGTGTACAGATGTCCGGGAAAGCTAAACCCGAAAAAGCCCAAAAAAGTATTCCTTATATATTTAACACCAGTCTAATAAGTCTTGCAGTCATCTTAGTTTCTTTATTGGCCGTATATCCCTATCTGAAAATGTTGCAGTAAACAAAATCGAACAAAAATCAGTCTAAACGCACAGCAATAATCTGCCTGCAGTTTCCCCGACTGTTTTCTACTACACTCACGCGATAGTTCTTATCACTTCAAGCGTTTCTACAATTCTCGCGATAGAAAAAAAGGTCGCTCCCGATTGGATTAATCCAACTCTCGCGATGTTCCGGCCTCTTCCTTGGCCGTCGTTGACAGAGGTTAGTCGTGCCATTTTACTCTGGACTAGCTTTTCTGTTTTAAAATGTACTTTAAATGTATTTAATGGCAAGGTTTACACACAGTAGGGCAAGTGAATCCTGTGATAGCTTAGATTATGTGATTTGCAGTATCGGATGGCTCATCTTAACGTCTAAATAAGACATAGTAGAGGGGCTCTGCTCAATGAGTTCGGCAAGCGAGTAGCGGCTAGCAACAGGCCGTGCATGTGTTCAGTTAGCCGTCACAAAACCGAAGGAAAAAGAGCTTAAGTTAATTTTCAGGGTCGGATGTTCAGCTCTTTTAATTGTGACTCAAGTAGTTAATATGTATGTGCCGTTTTATGTCCATTGGGCTGTTATATCAATCTCCTGTGCTATTGTGGTGTATCCCGGTTAGCTCAGAGGTGTTACGCCTGGAGGTTAGCGGTGCTCTGGGCTTTCAATAAAGGGTGGATATTAAATATGTTCGGATGCCGGTGGGTCTAACCTAAATGTTTTTATTTCTCCGTGCAGAGACAAAGGCCATGTTCAGTACCAGCGCCAAAATAGTGAAGCCTAATGGCGAGAAGCCAGACGAGTTTGAGTCTGGGATCTCTCAGGTAAGAAAGTCGGCATCACAGATCCATGTATTATTGAAGCTTCAGTCCAGCTGAATGAGTAACTGTGGGGGCCGTTGGGGAGAAAACTGTAAAGGGCATCATGAATAAATATGGTGTAAGAGAACTATATGATTTATTGGTCAGCCATTACATAACTGCACTATCTGTTAATATGAGGCCAATTTTATGTCAGATTACATTTTTTAAAAAGGTACTGATTTTTTTTGTGTACAGGGGTTCATGTACAGTATCAGAACTCTCTTGTCTCCAAGTGACTATTTAAACAAGAATTGTACTGTTGGAGGAATGTAAGGCTGTGTGTGATTGAGTCTTTAATGTGATTTAATTATGACTGACATTAAAGTCTCAGCTGCTGGTTCATCTCAATCCTGTAAGGCTCAGTGTTTCATTAGGACAGCCCTGTTTGGTGGTTTTGTCCACTTACTGGTTGGTGGACTGATGGGGTGATGCGGCCTTAAAATTATATCATATTTCTTGAAGTGTCTGGTGAATAAAGTACCAGCAGCACCAGCATTGCAGTGCAATAGTGGTGATACATTTTAAGTTCAGTAAGCAAAAAAAGTAACCCAGGTCATGTTTTCTCTTTCAAAAAAAGAAAAGGCAAGTAAAATAATGCACCTGTGAGTGCTATGTTGAGCTTCAGCAGCTGAAGCTCAACATAGTTCTGTTCCACACTGTCGGACAGAAAGCTGTACCCCTGGCTTAACTGATTAGTTTAACAATAACTGAAGTGATGTTTTAACCCTGCTCACCAGGCGGCTGTGGTATTTCTCATCTAGTGTTCCCTAAAGCTTACCTGGTTGCTCTCATGGCGATCAGTCAGCTGTCTCAGATTCTAACTCTGCTGTCTTGGACAGCAGCTGGTGATGGAAGTCTTTCCCCTTGCTGTGGAGAGATCCTGTAACTTGGAAGGTGATGTAATCCTGAACCTTCAGCAGCTGAAGCTCACTGAGGCTCAAGAGCATAACCGTCACCAGTTGGAGTCCAAGATGGTGGAGTTGTTAGTCTGTCTTCAGGATGAAGAACCTACTGGTGCAGCAGCTGATAATTGAGTCTCCCAAAATAACTTTCAGTTTTTTTTATAATGTATTTTAAAAAGGGATGGTTTTGTTTCTTTTAATGACCACATGGAAAATCTGCCACCAGTGGGATTGGGCTCTCCTTTAGAGAGAAGCAGAAATATGAAGCTAATAGAAAACGTTTGAGCTAGTCAGGATGAGTGATGTGGTTGTGCTTGCTTTACTCATTTGACTGGTCTTTCCACAGGCTCTGCTCGAGCTGGAGATGAACTCTGACCTGAAGGCTCAGCTGAGAGAACTGAACATCACTGCAGCAAAGGTGAGAGTTCACATGAACCTGTGTGCATGAGCTTCGTGTCATTAAATTATTTACATAACTGATACATAGATTTTGTTTTAACAAGCCTGTTGCTGTGTTTGCTGCTTTTCACTGACTCAAAATCAAGCTTTAATTTATCTTTATGCTAAGTTTTAAATCTAATCCGACGTGGACATCCAGAGAGTTGCTCTCCTGGCTCTGTCCTGGTGGCGTATGGGAGCGTAGCTCTGAGCTGAGACGTACAGTCCCGTTCCACAACGTTGGAGAGAAAGCTCTGTCCCCGGCTGCTGGCCGGTGAGGACGAGCGTCCTGCATATTCCTACATCTTCCCAGAGTCCTTTGGGGCCATTACTGGGGAGCTAAACCATGCAGTGCACACTTTTTGATACGTACTGGTGTTATAAGTCATCGTGTTTTACTAAAATTCTTTCGTACTAACCTAGAGCTCAATGCATGTTCCTCCGAGTTTTAACAGCCACAGATTTACGAAACATTAAGACAATTTCCTTCAAGGATCCAAAGCTGGGATTTGGGCACCTCGTGGAGAGCTCCTGCCCTGCCCAGGTGGCGTCACATCACACTTCAGAGCCCCTGTGCTCTTAAATGACTGCTGCTTTATTCTTTTCAGGAAATCGAGGTTGGTGGAAACAGGAAAGCCATCATCATCTTCGTTCCTGTCCCTCAGCTGAAGTCCTTCCAGAAGATTCAGGTGCGCCTGGTGAGGGAGCTGGAGAAGAAGTTCAGTGGAAAGCACGTGGTCTTCATTGCACAGGTGAGGATACCATCACTGTGACTGTCAGTTTGATTACTTACTTGATATCCAGAAATATTACGTTTTGCTTTCAAGCTGGATGCCTGGAAAACATTACTTAAAATGCATAACCCTGTTAAGAACAGGCGTGAGCTCAGGTATGTGTCCGTGTGTTGCAGTGATTCTTTTATCCGACATGGACATCCAGAGAGTTGCTCTCCTGGCTCTGTCCTGGTGGCGTATGGGAGCGTAGCTCTGAGCTGAGACGTACAGTCCCGTTCCACAATGTCGG